AAAAAAAAAAAAAAAAAAAAAAAAAATTAACATATATGCCTGTAGTCCCAGCTACTTGAGAGGCTGAGGTGGGACCATCGCTTGAGCCCAGAAGTCTAAGGCCGCAGTGAGCTATGACTGCACTACTGCACTCCAGCCTTAGGCAGCAGAGCAAGGCTCTGTTTCTTAAAAAAAAAAAAAAAAAGTCTGAAGCCCTTGTGTGTACTCCAAGTCATGTGTTATTTTCTGCTCCTTCACTGGATGGAATAAAAGAGATCATGCAAGATCATGCAATCCCCTAGGTACAGTAAAAAATTAAGGATCTATTGATCACTTTGCCTTGCTTTTTACTTTTTCTATTCCCTGCCTTTGAGTGCTTAAAGGTTACAGAGAAGTTTGTAGAAATAAAGGGTGAGCATAAAGCTAAATAACTAACTATAGGTCATGAGAATCTCCATGTTTAACCACAGTATTTCTTGGTAAAATTTAAAAATGACTAGTTGGCTTTGTTTATACTCTATTCCCATAACTTAGAATGGCAGATGGCATATAATACATGCTCAATAAATATTTGCTTGGTGAATGAACCAGAGCTCAACCATTATTTATGTATTTTTCTCCCTGAGATTTGAAGTTTGCTGAAGCAGGTTCTGCACCTATGTATCTTTGTGGTCTAAAACAGTCTCACCGCCAGGGGAATCTCTCTACGTGTGCAGTGACAAAAAGAAAATTAAATTCAGCTTTATTACATCCATTGACTTTTCTATGTATTTCCTTATGCCCATCTTGTTTTATTTAGGACGTTTAATTTCTCTTTAAACTGATTCCTTAGGAAATTTGTGCTCCCAGCTGAAACCCTGGCACAGGATTAATCATTTACATCTTTTAAAAATAAAAATGAAGAGTATCAGAGTTATGGTATACTTATTGAGAACCTTTTTGGAGATGCTTGTCTGTAATTTCTTCAGCTGTAACATTATCTATCTCTTCTGACATCTGCAAAAAAAGCAGGGAGGGTTAAACTTGCATCTTGTTTTGTCATTGAACATCTTTTATTATTATTATTATTATTATTATTATTATACTTTAAGTTCTAGGGTACATGTGCACAACACGCAGGTTTGTCACATAGGTATACATGTGCCATGTTGGTTTGCTGCACCCATCAACTCATCATTTACATTAGGTATTTCGCCCAATGCTATCCCTCTCCCCCAGCCCCCAACCCTCCAACAGGCGTGTGATATGCCCTGCCCTATGTCTATGTGTTCTCATTATCATTATGTATTCTCATATCTTTTCAAATATTCATCAGTCCTTTGAACATCGTCTCCTTTAAAATGCCAGTTCACATATTTTGCTTGCTTTCTTAAATTTCACCTTTTTATCATTTGTATGAGCTCTTTATATATGGTGAAATTATTCTCTCTTAGGAGGTAAAGCAAGATGGCTGAATAGAATCCTCCAGCAATCATCTGCACTGCAGGAACAACAAATTGAACAACTATCCACATAAGAAGCACCTTCATAAGACCCAAAAATCAGGTGAACAATCATAGTGCCTAGTTTTAACATCACATCAAGGAAAGAGGTACTGAAGAGAGTAGGAAAGACGATCTTGAATTGCCTATACCACGTCTCTCTCATCGTCAGGCAGTGTGGCAGGAAGAGAGAATCTATGCACTTGTGGGGAAGGACAGCAAAGTGATTGGGGGACTTTGCATTGGAACTCCCTGCTCCCCTAACATAGCGGAAAGCAACACAGGGCAGAATTTGGCCAGTGCCCACAGAGGGAGCATTTAGACAAGCCCTAGCCAGAGGGGAATTGTCCATCCCAGCAGTCAGAACCTGACTTCTAGCTAGGCCCACCATCATTGGCTAAAGCACTCTGGGGTCCTAATGAATTTGAAAGGCAGTCTAGTCCACAAGGACCGCAATTCCCCGGCAAGTCCTGGTACTATGCAGGGCTCACAGCCAGTGGATTCAGGGTGCACAAGATCCAGTGAGACACCAGCTGGGGTGGCCAAGGGAGTGCTTGCATCACCCCTCCCCCAACTTCAGGCAGTACAGCTCACAGCTCCAGGATAAGAGGGAAGAGCAAAGAGTACTTTGTCTTGCAACTTGGATACCAGCTCAGCCACTGTAAAATAAAGCACCAAGCAGAGTCCTAAAGCCCCCACTCCTGGCACTGTCTCCCAGATAACATTTTTAGACCGACACTGGGCCAGAAGAGAACCCACTGCCCTGAAGGAAAGGTTGCAATCCTGGCAGATTCACCACCTGCTGACTAAAGAACCCTTGGGCCTTGAATAAACATCAGTGGTAGCCAGTCAGTAGTCACCACGACCTTGGGCAAGACCCAGTACTGTGCTGGCTTCAGGTGTGACCCAGCACATTTCCACCTGTGGTGGCCACAGTGAGAGACACCTTCTGCTCGAGAAAAGGAGGAGGAAGAGTAAACATGACTTTGTCTTGCAACTTGGTGATATGGTTAGGCTTTGTGTCCCCACCCAAATCTCATCTTGAATTGTAATCCCCAGGTGCTGAGGGAGAGACCTAGTGGGAGGTGATTGGATCATGGGGGTGGTTTCCCCCACGTTGTTCTCATAATAGTGAATGAGTTTTCACAAGATCTGATGGTTTTGCAAGCGTCTGGTGTTTCTCCTGCTTGCATTTCTCTCTCCTGCCACCATGTGAAGGTCTTTGCTTCCCCTTCACCTTCCACCATGATTCTAAGTTTCCTGAGGCCTTCCCAAGCATGCAGAACTGTGAGTCAATTCAACCTCTTTCCTTTATAAATTACATTTTAAAGGGTAGTATTGTTATAGCAGTGTGAGAATGGACTAATAATACACTTGGGTATCCAGCTCAGCCACAGTCAAATAAAGTGTACCAAGCAGACTCCTAAAGTCCCTGATTCTAGACCTTAGCTCTTGGAGGGCATTTCTAGACCCATCCTGGGCCAGTAAGGAACCTGCAGCTCTGATGGGAGAGAACCAGGCTTGGTAGGACTCACCAACTGCTGACTAAAAACCCCTTGGGCCTTGAATAAACATCAGTGGTAGTCAGGGTATAGTCACCACTGGCCTGGGGCAGTGGTGCCCATGAGCAGACTGCCCTTCTGCTTGAGGAAAGAAAGGGGAAAAGCAGAGAGGACTTAGTCTTGCAATCTGGGTACCAGTTCAGCCCCAGTAAAATAAAGCACCAAACAAATTCCTAAAACCCCTGACCCCAGGCCCTCACCCTTCAATGGCATTTATAAACCCATCCTAGGCCAGAAGGGAACTGCTTCACTGAAGGGGAAGACCTAGTCCTGGCAGGATTCATCATTTTCTCACTAAATAGTCCTTGGGGCTTGAATAAACATCAAGACTCTCAGGACTCTCACCAATAGGCCTTGGGTGAGACCTACATTTCACCTGTAAAACAGGTGAAAAAACACATTTCACCTGTAAAAACACATAAACACTGAAAAGGATGATAAAAGATATTACATGCAAATGGAAACCAAAAAAGATCAGGAATAGCTATAATTATATTAGATAAAATAAATTTCAAGACAAAAACAAAGAAAGTCATGATATAAAAGGGATCAATTCATCAAGATGTAACAATTGTAAATACATGTGCTCCCAACACTGAAGCACCCAGATATATAAAACAAATATTATTAGAGCTAAACAGAGAGATAGACAACCAATACAGCAATAGTTGGAGATTTCAACATCCCACTTTCAACACTGAAAAGATCATCCAGACAGAAAATCAACCAAAAAATATCAGACCTTATCTAAACTAAAGACCAAATGGACCTAATAGATATTTACAGAACGTTTCATCCAACGGCTGAAGAATACACATTCTTCTCTTCACCACATAGATCATTCTCAAGAATGGACCATATGTTAGGCTACAAAATAGATCTTTAAAAATTCAAAACTTTTGAAATCATATCAAGTATCTTCTCTGACTACAATGGAATAAAATCAAAAGTCAATGACAAGAGGAACTTTGGAAACTATACAAACAATATGCCTCTGAATGACCAGTGGCTCAATGAAGAAATTAAGAAAATTTCTTGAAACAAATGAAAATTGAAACATAACATACCAAGACCTATGGGATACAGCAAAAGCAGTACTAAGAGAAAAGTTTACAGCAATAAGTGTCTATGTCAAAAAATTTTTAAAAAGAAAAAAAATTCAAATAAACAACCTAAAGATGCATCTTAAAAAACTAGAAAAGCAAGAGCAAATCAAACCCAAAATTCATAGAAGAAATAGTAAAAACAAGAGCAGGAAATAAATCACATTAAAATAAAAAAATAGAAAATACCAATGAAACAAAAAGTTGTTCTTTTGAAAAGTTAAACAAAATTGACAAACCATTAGCCAGACTCACTAAGATAAAGAGAGAGAAAACCCAAATAAATAAAATCAGAGATGAAAAAGGAGACATTACAACTAATACTGCAGAAATTTAAAGGATCCATTAGAGGCCATTATGAGAAATTATATGCCAGTAAATTAAAAAACCCAGAAGAAATGAATAAACTCCTAGACACATACAACCTACCAAGATTGAACCATGAAGAAATCCAAAACTTGAATATACCAATAAGAAGTAGCAAGATCAAAGCCATAATAAAAAGTCTCCAAGCAAAGAAAAGCCTGGGACCTGATGGCTTCACTGCTAAATGTTGGCAAATATTTAAAGAACTAATATCAATCCTACTCAAACTGTTCCAAAAAATAGAGGACAAGGGAATACTTCCAAACTCATTCTACAAGTATTACCCTGATACTAAAACCAGACAAAGTGACATCAAAAAAAGAAAACTACAGGCCAATGTATCTGATGAACATTGATGCAAAAATCCTCAACAAAATACTAGCAAGCCAAATTCAACATCATATTAAAGAGATCATTCATTATGACCAAATGGGATTCATCACAGGGATGCAAGGGTGGTTAAACATACACAATTCAAACAATATGATACATCATATCAACAGAATGAGAGACAAAAATCATACGATTATTTCAATTTATGCTGAAAAAGCATTTGATAAAATTCAACATCACTTCATGAAAAAAATCTTCAAAAACTGGGTATATAAGAAGTATACCCCAACACACTAAAAGTCATATGTGACAGACCCACAGCTAGTGTTATACCAAACAGGGAAAAACTGAAAGCCTGTCCTCTAAGATCTGGAATAAAACAAGCATGCCTAATTTCCCCACTGTTGTTCAACATGTACTAAAAGTTCTAGCTAGAGCAATCAGACGAGAGAAATAAAGGGCATCCAAATTGGAAAGAAAGAACTCAAGTTATCCTTGGTTTGGAGATTATATAATTATGTATTTAGAAAAACATAAAGATTTCACCAAAAAAACTATTAAATATGATGAACAAATTCAGGAAAGTTGCAGGATAGAAAATCGATATACAAAAGTCATTAGCATTTCTGTATGCCAACAGCAAACAATCTGAAAAAGAAATCTAGAAAATAATCCCACTTACAATAGTTACAAATCAAATTAAATACCTAGGAATTAACTTAATCAAAGAAGTAAAAGATGTCCACAATGAGAACTATAAAATGCAAGAAATTGAAGAGGATACACAAAAAATGGAAAGATATTTCATGTTCATGGATTGGAAGAATCAATACTGTTAAAATGTCCATTCTATTCAAAACAATCTATGTATTTAATCCAGTTCCTATCAAAATACCAAGAACGTTCTTCACAAAAATAGAAAAAGTAATCCTAAAATTTGTAGGAAACCTAAAGAGACTCAGAATAGCCAGAGCTATCCTGAGCAGGAAAACACAAGACTCAAGAAATCACATTACCTGACTGTAGTCCATTCTCACGCTGTTATGAAGAAATACCTGAGACCGGGTAATTTATAAAGGAAAGAAGTTTAATTGACTCACAGTTCTGCATTGCTGGGGAGGCCTCAGGAAACTTCCAATCATGGCAGAAGG